GGTCCCATGCTTGAGAAAATGCACTTTTCTAAAACCCTCGCCCGGGAATGCTGATGTAAAATGTCACCCCTCTGGATCCAGCTCTTCCACTGCGGCTGGCAGGCAGATGCTCACCACCACCACCAGGCCGTATAATGGTTATCAGCATGTCAAATGGTATTTACGATAGTTAGCTGTGACTTAGGACGCGTTGCACGCATTAAAAACAGGAGTGTGTCTGTTTACAATGAGGTGAAGTTGTGTGTTTGAAGCATCTGTCTGTGGTATGCAGTTGTATACTCGATGAGGAATCAAGATGCTCCACTCCTCCATCCTCCACTTGACGAGACCACAATTAGTTTTATATCCCACGATGTCATGTATCACGGTTAATCAGTGCTGAACACAGCGTGTGGGGAAATACACATTCAATGTGGGTCTAGTTAGAACCTAAAATGACATGATTCATTAAAGAGTAACCCTTTTATTCATTGGTCACCTATAACTACTTGTTACATTCCTACTTGTTAGTGTTTTCCATACTGACTTACTGAGGGAGCATTAAGTTATCACCAAACCTCAATATTCAGTGATGAGAGCCTTCAAAATATCTGATATTTGAGCTATTTCTCTAATCAACTAGCCCCGAACATTGGACACTACTGCTCATAACCATTCATGATACGAGGGCTGAAAACATTACTCGATTAATCCATCGACAGCAAAATAATCTGGAACCATTTTCATAATTGATTCATCTTTTAAGTCATTTTTCAAACAAAAAAGCCAAAAATAATTGTCTGGTTCCAGCGACTCAAAGAAGTCATTTGTAACTGAGACAAGTCTTTCTTTTTGTCTGACTCTGGCCTTTAAGCCACTTGTGCTGTGTTCATGTTGCTCCCCGTCCACCTTCCATTTCTTTATCTGAGTTCAAGGAAACATCAGTAAAAACACTCCTTACTGTCTCACAGTAAGTGGAACATAAGTGGGATAAAAGCATCACTTTTGTCTAGTATTTTACATCTATTCATCTCTCAACAGTTCAAAGCCCTGCTGGTTATCCAGCGCTTAGGTGACTTTGTGCCTCCTCCTCCTCCTCCTGCAGCCCTTTTTACCACAATTCTCTCCTACCCATCATTGTTAGTGTTAGCATACTAATTACATTCCTCAGTAATGAGTGTGTGGGACAGGAGGGCGGGTTGTGGGCTGTGTGTGTGTGTGTGTGTGTGTGTGTGTGTGTGTGTGTTAGGTCACATTTCTGCGTAGCGTCTTCTCGTTGTATACGTCTTCAGCATCTGTGTGTGTGCGCTTGTTTACACTCTGCGCTGTCTTGTCTATCTTTGAATGGCGCATGTGCATCTCTGTTTTGGCAGCTTCAATACGATGACGATGCATTTTGAATGTGTTTGTGGCTCTTTACACTTGGTCTAACAACAAATGTACCCTCTCATCTCCGTCTCTTTTTTCCTCCGGATGATGATGGGTGGTCTATACGGCGAAATCAGCCTGAAAACATTAAACTGTTTAGACAGAACTGTACCAGGAAACGATGTACACAAACCCACACTCTCATCTAATTCCTCGATGCCCTCTTTATTTACTGCAAAAAGGATCGGGGGAGAAGACGCAGATCAGACCGTGACGTGATGATACACGCTGTGTAGGCTATTTCAATACAAAAGCACAGAAAAAATATATAAATCTCTGCCGGAGTGTCTTCAATAATCATATCATCGTTATCCTCTTCACCCTGCTCCAGTTGTTTGACCGTGAAGCGTTTAACAGCTGGCTTACGTAAAATACCATCTGATATGCTGATAACCATCTGACACACACGTGGCATTTCACATCACATGTACCATTAATATGTGTGTGTGTGTGTGCAGTGGCAAGCAGAAACACAGGAATGCACTTCCCAATTAACAAATGTGATCTTCTGAGCTTGATCTTTTCAGTGCATTACAAGCGTCTCACGTCTGTTGGTATAATCTTCCTCACCTGCCTCATCATCGACCCCGAGAAGACAGTTTGCATCGGCCTTTCTACTGAAGACAAGTTTCTTTATGAAAAGGCAACATCTGCTCTTCAGTAAATAACTATTGTTAAACGCCAGAGAACTATGGCCTCAAATGAAGCTGTAACTCTTGTACTTGTAGCAAGTCAAGAGTCAAGTCAAAGTCAAACTATTCTTTGTGAAAGTATTTTAGGATTTCTAAAAGTGAATAAAAAAAAAAAAATACGACTGATATTGAAGGCAGCTTTGCTATTATTCTGGGCAGGACACCGTGCACCTCTGCTGATGATTCTCTGACCAATCGGAGGTCTTGACGGAGGTGATACCAAAGAAAAGTTCGAGGCCACGTGCTATCCAAAACTTTTGCCAAAGGAAAACCATAAAAGAAGGTTCAAAGCGAGTCGAGCCGTGCGGTGAAAAACGCTGCGCTACTGTCTAGAGCTGCAGGTAGCCCAGAATGCATTGGCCTACTGCTAGTCAGCTCAATGCTGTTCAGCTAACAGAGGAGAATGCTAATCTCTCAGCTGCTCAGTCTCATGCTCAGCTACACACACACACACACAAACACAAACACATATACAGACACAGAGGCCCAGACTCTGGTTGTGTAAGCCTGAGTGCCGTTTATAACGCGACTCTACATCCGCTGCAATAAGGGGCAGCATTGTTGCATCTTTATCTCTTTCTGTCCCCTATCTGGAGCCTTATCTCTGTCTGTTTCCTGTTCTTTCTCTTTTACTGCCCTTTTCCTTTCTTTCTCTCTCTTCACCCGCACCTGTATCTCTTCAACTGTCTGCCTTGGCCCAGCCCCCCTCCTCCTAATTTTTCTCTCCATCTCCGTGTGTCGGCCCTCACAGTGGTAAACAGACGTCAGTGCCGTCTGACGCTCAGCCGTCACCGACTCCACGGACGCCCCGGAGAAAAGCAACAATCTTTAAAACTTAACTTTCTGGTATCTATTAATTTACCATTAACTGAATCATTTGCTTCTCTTTTCTTCAACATATTCAGCTATTTCCTAAACACAATAAGCCATACTGTACTTTGCAGTTATAAAGGAGCTGTTGTACATAACTTCCTGGATTTACGCCGTACAATAGCGGCCTCACATTTACTATCACTGAACCTTGTGTGCAATGGGGTCAGATGAGGCCACGGCATAATTAATGTTTATAATTTGAAATCATGTCACATGTCACAATATATGTCTTATGATATTTTGCAATTTGTTGTTCATTGTTTATACAGTTGCCCTGAGTAACCCACCTCCGGTATGCATATTTATCGAGCACATCTCAGTAGTCACCAAGTCGCCAATAAAAATGTTTCTCTGTGTCGTTCCTCAGAGTACATTTCCTCATCTACTTCGAATAGTGTTTTGTACTTTAAGCCTGTAGATTGTAATTATGAGCTTGTTTTACTTTTCATTACCTGATTTAATAAACCAAGAGGCCAAGAGTATCTTGAAATAGTTTAGAAGTTGTGATGGGCAATGAACATCGTCTTACATTGGAACCAACATACCTGTAAGCATGTTGGGCTGTAGAAGCCAGGAGCTGACTTTGTTTGACCGTGGCACTAAACATTGTGCAGACTCGGGCTGTTTTATGTCTAAAATGTTGGTGGAATTGCAAATAAATCCGTGTAACGCTGCCAGTAAATCTTACAATCTTACAAAAATTCCAAGATTACAAACTCCTGCTTTTAAAAAAAATCTACAAATTCCATTCATTCTTTTTGGCCGTGATTATACTTTAGGATGAGATACAGACGGAGAACAGATGTCACGCTGCATTACCGACGACTTAGTGCATAAGTCCAAGTTCAAAACCACAAATTCACAATTACATGGTATGAACCTCAGACCACAAGGCCACCAAAGCCCAGCATCCCCTCTCATCACTAACACTCAAGTACGTTTTTCAGCTGCCTCTTCCCTCTTCAGTCACTGTTACACAGGAAATGACATAAAAATAACACAAATGTGGTAGTAGAAACAATAATTTAGTTTGATTTCTCCAGTTAATACTGTATTTTAACCAAGAGATAACAACTGAAGTCTACCCATCACAGGATGAAGGGAAAGTGCAGTTTCTAAATCGGTTCATTATGTCATTTTGTCCCGTGTGTCCTCTTCCTGATCCCCTGCCCTCTCTCTCACACCCCTCTAATCTGTTTCCTTCAGTTGTCCATTTTTCCCCCTTTTCTTCCTCCCTCTTTCCTCCCTAATTCCCTTTCTCCTACTTCCCTTCCTTCTCTTATCATCCATTATTCCTCCAGTCTTCCTCCGTCATGAGTCCCCTGTTTCTCTCCTTCACCCTACTTCCTTTCCTCTCCTCTTCCCTTCCTCCCACCCTCACCCCCTCCCTCGGTCTCCCCTCCACTAGCTGCCCTGGTTTCATTGACAGACTGCAGGCGGCGAGGGGGAGAAAACGCTGTAGCATTGCACAGCAAACATCCCTAATAGGCTAATCTAATCTCATCTCTTTGCGGTCTTCGGGCCTGTGTTTACTTTCGGCCCTGTGTCTGCACGCTGGCTTCGGCCTCGCCTCGCTGAATGCGGCTTTGTTCCCGCTGAAAACTCATCATCTGTGTGATCTCGGGAACGGGCGCCAACTCCACAGCCGTCTGCCCATAATGCCTGCATGCTGGGGATTGTCCTCATCGAGGAGCAGCTTGTGTGGCTGTTTAATTTTCAGGAAGGTTGTTTGTTTTTTATTAGGTTTGATTTCACTGAAGGAAACAAGGTGGCGGACCTGCTGAAGTACCGAGGCTGCTTCTCTGCATCTGACCGACAGTCGAAGAAATAGTGCCAGCATGTTTCAAAGAAATCCTCCTGAGTTCAGATCAGCAGTGCGACAGCAATAATGCACAAACAGCAGTGAGTGTACACCAGGCCTGGTGAGCAGCCACATACAGTGATGTCCGCAGCAGTGATTTATCTCCCTGCCGGCGTTCATGACTGTAACGCTCTGAGTCTCTATACATCGGTGCTTCTGTCACTCACCTCTGGCAGCAGTGGACATCAGCACCACCTCCAGCAGCAGAGAGACCCAGAGAAGCTCCATTTAGGTTTAATTTTCAGGAAGAAGAAGTCTCAGCCTCTTTTATCTGAAAGGAAATGAGAGAAGAAAAATATATATTGAGTTGCTTATTGAAGGATAACAGCTGATACATCTGCAGATACTGAGTAATTATTCACCACCTTGAAGGTTCCTTTTAATCTTTCAGATTACATCTCTGTCTATAAATCATCAACGTATCAAAACTGTTGCACCGTCTGATTTATTCCAAAACTCCAGCAGCCACATTCATCATTTTACCATCTAATTTTTTTGATTAATTGCTTCCAAAATAGCTGCTGGCGCAAAAGGAATTGAAACATAATTTACTATCAAGCGGCTGACAGCTGTTGAGCATCTATGTGAAAACCTGCCTTGACTTTCAGAAGAGACAGAAGTGGGAATAACTTGACGGAACATAATAAAAGTTATTCCTGAATAAAGGAAAGTAAAACTAAAAGTCTGTAATTTCTCTGAACAAAACCGAGAGAGAATTAAACATTTAATTCCTACACAGATGTTTTAAAACCCACCCGGCTAAAGTTTTTTAAAAGATAGATGTTAGCTCGGAAGTGAAAGAATACGAGCTCTTTATTCCAAAATGTTTCAACTTAATCTCCTCTACTCTAAAGCTTCTTTGGGTCTACAAACGTCCTCGGCAGTCAGAATAAAATAAGGTGTCCATCACTGGCTGGACACTAATGCTGCGGCACAGGAGCAGAGATTTTCTGGAAGTCAAACTATTTTCCCCACAGATCTATTCTGTCCACCTGTCCACATGTCTCCCCTTACAGTGGTTTTAATCTTTCCGCCACATGAATTCTTCCCTGAACCTTACGAGCTCTTATTTCAATGCTCCACATGCCGTATCTTTGATCAGCATCCGTCAACCTCAGCGTCTCGGTTCACCCGAAACTGCTACACACTTACTGTAAAAGTGCTGGATAATTGATTTGATTTGTGGCAATAGCCGGTGAATTTCCAAACATCCAAAGTCAGATTTAGTCACATTTTTAAGTCAGTAGTGTAGTTATCTCACTGGGAGAACAACCTTTATTCCCTAAATACATATAACCATCATACAAAGCAGCTGAAAGTGGCTGTAAATGAATCTATAAAGCTTCTTTAAGGAGGAGGAGAGCCTGCGACCTGTGATTGTTTGTATTATGATGATCCCAAACTTTAAGTCTAATAAATTTATAATTAGCACGTGTTTAAAATCAATAATGTACATCCTAATTAAAAAAATGAACCGGGATCATTAACCCTGTTCCCTTGCATTCATAAAGTACGGCACGTCCACCTTCCCTTATGAAACCATATTGTACTGTGAATATTTTGAACTACTTCAAAAATGCATAAGAGAACTTTACAAGTGTTGTAACATGTTATAACTTCTTATAGCTTCTGAAATACCGTTAAAGATTACATAGAAGTATGACATGCATTCATGTGACTCTACATCACATTTGTTAGCAAACAAACCTCGGTAGCTTAAGAGGAGAGGAAAGACGAATGAAAAAGGTCACAAGGAGATGATAAAAGTGCACTTCAATCTCACTACAAAGCGAGACTCGTGGATAGGTTATATTAAAGAGATGACTAACTTATTCAGACTTACTGTAAGAAGTGATGAGGTCCCCACAGTCTGTCACCCTCTGATGACCTGCACGTATACCATGCCTTTAAGACTCCTCCACCTCCTCTCCAGCGCGTTTATGATTGCGATAACTTAACCCGTGATTCAAACCCAAAATAATTCACTCACGTACAGAGACGCGTCTGTCACCGAAACGAAGTCGACTCTAACAAAGTGTTGCAACTACGCTGTGACTAAAAGAGCGAAATAAAATATGTGGGGTAAGGTCAAACACGTGAGACTGTAGTATTTCTGAATGACAGTCCGCATGTAAAGCGCTCGAGGGAACCCACTCACAGAACCGGGGAAAGAAAGAAAAGAGGAAAAAAAGACAAAAGCGGTATCTACACGGTCCGCCTGTCCACGTAACTATTTATGCACGCTTCTCTCCGTAAAATGAAAACCTGAATACTATATCCACATTGCCTCCAGCAGCGACGCGCCGTCCAAAATTTCAGCCGCAGGCGAGAAAACAAACTGCGTCGACTATCTGTCCCGAGTACAGAACTTTCAGCCAATCAGAGGGCAGGCCAATCAGAGAGCGGACCAATCAGCGAGCAGGAAGGTGCTGGACAAATTTGGAGCGGTTTATGGGTTGAGGAGGGGTTTCACCTCAAATCAATTTATATTGTATGTTAATAACAAAAAATGCTGCACACAATTGGGACATACATTATTTATTACATGCCTTTATTATATTATTATTTTTATTTATTTATTATTTTTATTATTAATTGTATTGTTAATATTATTATTATTATTTTTATTATAAGTAATAGTAGTAGTAGTGGATTTTGTTTTCTATTCTATTCTACCTATAAAGTCCAGTGCATGTAGGCTACAGTAATTGCAGTCCGCGAGATGTCGCTCCAAGTAACGTTATGGACCACCACTGCCCCCTCGTGGCATTCAGACGTTATTACAGCAACATGCATTTACTAGATGAAGCGCACATACTGTGTGTTGCAGCAAAAAAAGGTTCCTGTACAGTGTAGATGTCCGGCAGCGTTGATGGCCAAATAAAGGTAACTAGATAAATATAATAACTGATAAAATGATTTGCACAGGAGTTCAAGTCTGGCTCTCGTTTTCTCTTGCAACAAATAATTCACATGCACAAAAGCAGTTTGTTTTCTTGTCAACGATTGACAAGGTGATCTCTGATCTGTTACAAAAAAGTCTCATATGTTTTATGAATATGTTGTAGCTGTGAAGGAGTCCTGTAGTATTTACGCATTGCAGTGAGTAGTCAGCGGTGGAAAGTACATTTACTCAAGTATTGTACTTAAGTACAAATTTGACGTATTTGTACTTTACTATTTTTATTTTTATTTTCTGCTACTTTTTACTTCTACTCCACTACAATTAGAAGGAAACATACGTTTCATTCCACTGCATATATTTGACCCCATTCGTTACTAGTTACTTTGTAGATTCAGATAAATAATAAAACATAAAATCAATAAATAAATGATGGTGTATTATTATTATAGATAAGCTCTTGCTTAAATCCACGAGCTACCAGGCAGCAGGCCTATATGATTAAAAAAAAGACCTATCTTTACCAGCGACAATATACAAATACTTTTGTACTTCACTTAAGTAAAATATGGAATACAGGAATTCACTTGTTACAGAGAAGTGTCCGGCAGACGGCGTTTTTTAAAAAACTTTTTTTGAACTTCTGTTGCTTTCTCAGTGCAGCTAGACTGGATGTCATCTCATGCTCTGAAATCTTAATTAGTGTCTTTATCTGTGTTTTGGACTGATATACCGTATAATCTTATAAAAACATCAGGTGATATTATACAACTTTTGTTTTAATGTGGAAATATTGTTGACCTTGATGTTTCTATTATATTCCACACTGTAGAGCAGTGGTGCCATCTCCTGGTGATAGGAGGAGCCTACCAGTGTGTGGGTGTGTGAGTGTGTTACTCATCTAGTAGGGACATAAATACAGTATTACATAGTCACATTGTGGAGACTTGCCTTTCTTTTGGGGACAAAATGCACATCCCCATGCGTATATAATTGTATTTTAGGATGAAGACTTGTTTCAAGGTAAGGGTAAGGGTTAGGATTAAGTTAAATTTAGGATATGGGTTGAATAGGGTTCGAGTAAGTCTCTAGGGAATTAATGTAAGTCAATGTAATGCCCCCAGAAATAAAAAAAATAGGACTGTGTGTTAGTGTGTGTGTGTGTACTTGACACAGCGAGAACCAAAACAAGTGTTTTTTTGGTATGTCCCCCCTTCTTCAAAGGCCTGTTTGAAGGTTTGTTGTGATGGTTAAAGGTGGAATTTACAGTATTCTGAGCAATAATATAGCAGCAAACAACTATTTGCGATGTAAAGATATAGTGGAGTTGAAGTCGCTCTCCGTCTGTGTGTGTTGTAATCTGGGCTTCTCTGAGTTTTGTTTGGATATCTTTGCTGGCCCTGCATGCTTTTAGTGCATGCTCGTGCATGTGAGTATGTCTCACTGACTAGCTCACGCCATGTTGAGAGCCGTTTAGAAGCAATCAAGATGCTCCCAATCTCGTAGCACCTTGATGGTTAGGGTGTAAGTACAGGGATGTGTGTGTATACGTTTCCTACAGCTGTCTTATGTTTAATCAGAAAGCACACTGAGTAGTAATATCACGATTAACAGTTAGTCTTGGCCAATCAGAACATGACTAATACTGAAGGCCTATGTACTCAGCGCGTTGGCGTGCCGTACATTTCGACTCAACAAATTGATCCCAGAGAGGTGTGGGGAGCTGTGAATGTTAAAACTCTTACAGTGACGTCCTGCTGTTTTCTAGAAAAGTGGAGTGTTGGGTGGAGAACCAAGCGGGGCTACCGGGATCTGAATCCAATTCTGACTGGGGAGAGTCGGCAGTTTGTGGTTCACTGGTCATCATTGGATTGAGAATCAGTCTGTACATGCACTTTAGCTTAGCAGGGAGGAATTAAGGCAAGTCAGCTTCAATATCCAGCAGGTCCCTCGCTGTTCACACTGCAGTTCTGTTTTAGCCAAAAAGGGGAAAAAAAACCTGCATCCTGCCTACGACGCTGTAATGTGGCCAGGCCACATCCAAGTCCTAATTTAGCTAGTAACTTTAGCTACCAGTAACTTTGGATCACAATGTCCCTTTAAGTTCACGTTGAAGTTAAACAACTACAAACTACAACCCAGCTAACCGACATTCAATACAGTATATGTTACAATTAGCAGTCAAAAAACAGAAGCAGGCAGAAGTATCTGCCATGAGTGCAATATTTAGTCATATATAAATATAAATTTATACAAACACACCATTTACTAATGTTAAAATGGAAGTAAAAATGATAAAATAGATTCAATTTCTAATGAAAAGTGACAGTCCTATTGTGTATGTTTCTAGATTTATCGAATGTATTTTAGAACAATGTATATTGAAATCATCAAGGCCTTATAACTAGGACAGGCATTGGAAGTTAGCAGTAGCTAGAATGCTGTAGTACACTGCATTGCATAATTGTTGTGTATTTCTCTATGTATATGTATAAAAGTAACACGGTAAGGCTGGAAAACACCAGTTAGTTGAGACTCAGGCTGCAGGGTGAGGGTGGGTGCTGGTGTTACCTTCATTGAATACTCCTCTTGTGCTGAAAGAGAGAGACAGAGAAGAAAGGGTTAGTCACACCCATATGGGCTTGGACAGGAAATTGCCATGGGAAATGAGGTGTGGTCTTTGTTCCCCTGCTTAAGTTATGGAACGTCATTAGTCGTGATCGTCAATTATTTTACATCACTAGTTTAGTTTTTACATCACTGCAGCACTCCTGGCATGCAGCATCACTGCAGTATGATTCCTTATATCATTAATATATACATTTAGCATGATTCCTTATTGCTGTCTTATTTGAAACATACCTTGTTATGTTTTCAATCTCCTACCCAGGGGTTAAAGTGGGCCGCAACGATCCGGAACTGCATTCTGGCGCCTTCGACTAATGAGTAAATAAATCTGGTTGGCAGCTGCACCACTACAGGTTCTTACTGGGAATCCCCAGAAGCAAGATGTGGCACACTGACTCCGTCTTGTGGAAACGAAGAAATCAAGAAATCAACACTTATTTGTATTGATACATTGATTTTATTTCCCCACCCATCGTAACCAGTGGAAGGATTCTGCCTGTAGTGAAACAGGCAAACTCACACAGACATGGAAGCCTTGATCAATCAACAGGTCGACATTAAAAACACTTCTAAAATAGGCTGACGGACATTTACGACATCCAGCAGCACTTAAGATCAGTCAAAGAGTCATTTAATACAGCCATCTTTACAGCAATGATTGGGTTTAACTGTGAAACACAGCAGAGTATTATCTATGGCTGTGCTCCAGCTCCATGGCTTTGACCACTGTGTTTTATTTCCGCATCAGGAGACGCCAGACTAAACTCTCCGGAGCCTCACAGAGTGTCTGAGCAGCTGGGAAAAGGGCTCACTGAAAGAACTTTTTAATGCTACCTGGAAATAAATGTGAGACCAATTCAAAATCCAGAGAAAGGAAACAAAGTCAAACTATCCGATCCCAGTTCAACACATAATTTAAAAAAACAATTTGTCGTACTTTTGTACACAAGAAAGTTGTATCTCAGAAATGTTACTGATTCTACTCTAATACTTTGAGGGCTTATGTTGACTAGTATCCCTGAAAGTGAAGTGATCAAGAGCTAGAAGGTTTTTTTGACTATGCTTGTGGTACTGTGATTAAAACAGTAGAAAAACTGTCAACACTAAATATTATATAAGATATATAATAGAATACAACATGTGAATACAAATAAAAATAATTTATCCAATTGAGAATTCAGTGCATTATTGTCAGGGAGCTTTAATGCAGTTTCATTTTTGTGTTTTCTCCAGTAGACGGAAGCAGAGGACTATATCAAGAGAACAAAACTACACACATTGTTACACACGTTGTATTTTTATGTTTTAAGTATACTGCTAAAATTTTAAGAACCTGCTTTTCTTCTCAAATCATCATGACAGATGGTGGGAATATGGTTGAGTATGCTCCATTGAAATCCATGCACTGTGACGGGCAGTCGGCTGGAACTATTTCTGGTAAAGACTTTGTGTGAGAGTGTGTGTGTGTGTGTGTGTGTGTGTGTGTGTGTGTGTGTGTGTGTGAGAGTGAGAGACAGAAAAAGAGAGGGAGGGAGAGAGACCACGTGTCCATTCCTGCCTGCTCTGAAGTCATGTCTTTTCTATATCCATAGAGACATCCCCAACTTCTTCAAACTATTCCAACACACACATTGATTAGTTACTGTCGACTGAAATGGTTTTCACCTCTCGCACCTGTTGCCGAACATAAAATAGTCGGATGAATACCACTTTTGTAAGAGGCTCTCGGTTCTCTCTATTATATCATTAACCTCCGCTGTACTTTCTGCTCTTGTCTGCCAAAAAGAAACTGGAGGCCAGAA